ACAGCAGTTTCAGTCTCTACTCAGCTGGAAGGACACGGTGACTCCACAATATCTTTACAGAGATAAAAGTTGTTAATAATGCTCTAAATCTTGTATAAATAACCTTTAGTGTGGCGTTAGTATATGGATACAGATGGTAAAGTGATCAGGAATCAGAAGAACAGAAAGGGGATTTATTCTCAGGCTTTAAATGATTCAGGGTTCTCCATCTTTCTGGCTCTTTGGGATTACACTGTTATTCTGGATCCAACCACCAGATGGCGCCACAGTAAAACCCTACACACTGTGGATTAAACTGTTAAAACCAAACTAACATGTGCTGTTCTTCCTTCCAGGACCCAGAGAAGGAGGTTTCTGATTGGCTGTCTGACCTGACCCTGGGCGACCAACATCCTGACCTGGAGGTAAACATCTGTTGTTGTTTGTGTGTAAACGAGGTCATAATTACCTTAATCACACTGAGGTCACGTCAGCAGCATTTCAGGAGCCTGGAGAGGGTTAACAATGCCGCACTGCATATTGTTTGTAGACTTTTATTATTAGTCTTTATTAAACAAGGACCATTAATCTCAAAATGATTTATATCAGATTTAGCTGTTGGCTGATTTCCACCTGCAGTCTCTGTGCAGATAGAAACAATCAATAAAACCATTCATGTTCATCAATACACAGTCTGTAAATATCAGCACATTCATCCAGTGCAGCTATAACAATATATATATAACAATCTGAATAAATAGAAATAAATAAACACTTTTATAATTAAATAAAAGTGTTTTTTGTCTAAAAATGTATTTTAGCTGCAAACTGTTGTCATATTGTAGATACGGTTTTTATTATTAACAGTTCCTGTACACATTCGTAACGTCTCTACACATTAAGTAAATCACTAGTTCCTTTCTCCTTAAAGGACTCTTCATCTATCAGTGAGTAAACTGACTGTATTCAATAATACAGAACAGCTGATCAACTGATCAATGAACCAGTGAACTCAATAACTGCAGGTGGTTTGATTATTTCCAGTGAATATTGATCAGAGATGAGTTTTCCTGATACTTTTATACAATCTTCTGTCTGTATTTTGTATTTATTTTAACAGTCATACATTAATAATCTTATTCAGTGTTAGTTGACGCCATTGTTCTGATACAGTTTGTGTTTGGATATGAATTAATTCAGAGTGATGAGAAAAGTTATTTTAACTCAAAGAAAAACAGATTACATCAAAAAATTTTGTAGTAACACAAACTTACTTTTGTAGGTTAAAATTTTGATTAAGAACTTGAGTAAAATACAAATAAAATGACTAAAACTAGAATCAAGAATGTTTTTTAACTTTTTTTTTTTAAATTAATTTAAAAACAGATTATTAAAATTAATCAGATTAAACGAGTCCTTTAGTGAAGGTCCTGCCTGTTTCCTGTCTCTAGGGCCTCCCAGACCCCCAGACCGTGTCCTCCAGCATCCAGCAGATGTGGGCTCTGACTGAGGTGATGCAGACCAACCAGACCACCGCCTCCATCGGACGATTTGATGTGAGTCTGAATCACGGACCGATATGGTCCTCACTGCGGCGGGGTCCAGCAGTATATTTATAATATTAGTACATTTCTCTCAGTTTCAAGCTCAGACTGAACTGAGATTCAGCATTCAACATTAAATTCTTCTGATTCATTCCCCCAACGTCCAGAGGGGTCGACTGATAAATAATTTATCACTACGTTGGTGAAACACGGTCAGAAGATCCTCTGGATTCAGGGTTCAGGTTTAAGAGCTGATATTTACTTCTTTACCACAGTCTCTTTTGTTACTGTACTTTATTGGATTGAGTCTTTTTCACTTGAGAGGACTTCAGTCCTGACGACAAAGACTGACGTTAGATTTTACTCTGAATCATTAACTAATTACTGTTCTCTGCTTATTAATTCCTGATGTTTGAAGGTTATTACAAACATCAGTGTGAGAGTTCAGAAGAGTTCACACACGTCCTGGAAACACCTGGAAATGTAATAAAATGATCAAATATCCTGGAAATAATCTCAGTTGTCCTGAATGTATTTTAACTCCTCCTCTTGATGATCAGATTTCTTGTTGCTGTGCTCGATAAATACAATGATAAACTCCTGTAAAGTGTTAACCAGAGTGTGAACCCTCTCTGTGTTCCTCGTTGCTGCAGGTGGACGGATGCTACGATATCAACTTGCTCTCGCTGACGTAACGTCTCTTCGTGGAGGACTCGAGGAGCGTAAAGGCCTGTAAAAATGTTCATTGTCTGCTTTGAGAAGAGCTGCGAAGAAAAACAAAGAACTATTATGTATTTGTTGCCTTTTTTTACTTTAATTAATTGATTTTAACATTAATGTATGGAAGCCCTGAGAGGTAAGTGAGAAAAACACAATCTTGTTTTTCTCCACTTTCTGAGTTTATGAGTCAACCTGAAGGTTTTAATTTCACTAAACAAAGTAGATAGAATGTGTTCACACTGTATTTTATTCACTGTTGTATTTATATCAGTGTCAATCTGCTGTTCACCTGGAAGAAAAACATAAATTCTTTTAGACCATAAACACATTTAACACTTTATTATTACACAACTTTTTTTCACGTTTTCACAGAATGAAAAAAAAAACAGATGAAAAAAATTCAGTTCTTATAAACCCAGGAGAGAAAACTTCTTAGATCAGACTTAATATAAATTTAAAATATTAAAATAATAGTCTCACTTGCTACTCAAGGCTTCCGTACTAATGAGAATATCATGATTTAATTTATTTAACATGCTTTTAAAGCTTGTAAGTTTCATTTAAGGGAAAATCCTGTCAATAAAAACACAGTATTAACTTCAGATTTTACTGATGCATTTATTTACTGAGCTGTTCGTAGCATTAGCGTCTGAAAACGTGGCTTTCATCCTATAATGAAAATATTATTACATACAAATTCAACATCAACCAAACTGAACAAATACAATGAACCCACGATGCAACTCTCAGTTTTGAGCTGGGTGTCTCCAAAGTAAAGTCTGTGTGCACAATGTGGATCTGAACGGCCCCTCACTGTAATACTGTACATAGTTATTATGTGAGATCAATATTAAGCATTCACTGTACACAAACAGACGTCTCCCTGTGATTGGCTGACTGCCTGCTGCCATTCACTGAGAACAGACTCTAGCATTATCTTGACAGATATTGTAATATGATTCATGATTAGTGGGAATGAGGAAAAACGATTTAAATCGTGATGACGTGACATTAGTTCTGATCTGTACTGAACAAACAAAATTTGTAGACCAGGGAGTCTCTATATAACTACAGTCCTTCATTATAACGCTGTTTATCACATTTAACCTGATATTTGTAGCTATATATATATAGATATAGGTATCTGTGCTGCTCTCATTTGAATATATAATCATATACAGCAGGAAACCAGGGAAAGAGTTGTGTGTTGTGTCGTATGTAATGTTGGAACATTCGGTGGTTAACTTTAGACCTTGAGAGGACATTTTTGGAAAACAAGATGAGGTTTAGGAGGGTTAGGAGCTACGAGGTCCTCACAAGTACTGAAGCACCAATGTGTGTGAGTTTGACAGGAGCAGGAGTTTACTTTCTGCAAACATTACGTTGTCTGCAGATCTTGTTCCATGTCAGTAAAAACTAATATTCCTGTCTTTGCTGTGAGCAGTTATCAAACACTCCATCAAAACCCAAACTCCATCAGGGAATACGCTACATGGACTCTTTTTATCAGTTGCTGCTGGAAGAAAAATTAAACTCCCAGCAGCACTTCTTAAAATATATCAGCCCGTGTTCTTAAAGTGCTGAACAATATCGCAGATTCTCCAGAGGTTCCTCGACAACGCCGACTGAAGGAAGGAGGACAAATGCTTTTTCAGAGAGGAGCCTTCACTCATGTTGTAAACACTCACAGTGAATTTATGGTGATATTATCACAGAAACATCCTCAACAAACTACTTTAATAGAATCAACCCAGCAAATGTATTTTCAGTGGTAACAAAACAGTGCAGTTCCTCTAAAGGCCACTAGAGGCTAAGTAACTCCTCCATCTAGTTCAAGTATAGAATTAAAAACCAGCAAAACTGTTTATAGTAAAAATGTGGCTTATGCTAATGATATCATGCTAACAGACTGAGCCGAGCTG